GCAGGTACCATCATTTCCGCGTTCTCAAGGGGTATTGGTCTACATGATCAATCCCCTCGAGACCGCGGAAATGACGGTACCTGCCGACCGTAGAAATGATGGTAACCTCCCTTCAAAAAGCGAGAAAGTGTCGGGTGCAGACCAAACACCACAACTGACGACGGCCTCCAAGTAAATCTGGTTAGAAGTTGTTCATAGTGATAGCTGATTTCTGGTAAATGATAGTTGTAATTAGTGACAATCGATAGAATACAACTGCAACAGGCTAATCATTTCATTGGCAGAAAACATTAACATTTTGTGAAGGCCGTCGTCACTTGTGGTGCATGGTCTGCACCCGACACTTTCTCGCTTTTTGAAAGGGAGGGTACCTTACTGGGTCATCAAAATCTGTAATCTGACCCTTAAATTCGTAATTCGTTTCGTAATTTCGTTCTTCACCTTATCGGTTTCCTTAAGTCATATGACCCGGCCCCGAAGGTAAGAGACACATATGAAAGCCTCACCGCACGGTCCTTCAAGCAAAGGGTGCCTTCCAACGCTCGGCTTTTAAAAGGTTAGCGGGTTACGACATCGTTCATGGCTTATTCTCCCTTAGTTTTTCTTTCTTGTAATCTGAAATGTTGCTTGGACGAATTGTTTCAAAAAGATGCTTCGATTTGCAGGCTCCGAAGAAGGCGAGTGCGCCGAAACGTAAGCCGAATAAATCATGTAGCAATCTCGAAGGCTGAAAAAGAAGCAAATACAACTGTGCACGAACTCTCCACTCCATTTCGTAATGTACAGAATAGTACGGAATTTCGTTACAACGAGAGAAAAAAGACACGCTCACGCAGTTAGATAGGTATAAAGACAAGTAGACAGACAGAGACCAATTTGGAACAGAATATATGATCAATCACTGTTGTTATTGTTGCTACGTATTATAATATCTCTGTCAAGGACATATCTTCTTCATATTTATTAGAAACCAGTATGAGGCAATTTTCCAAATTACGAGTACGAGCGCCGGCTATATTCCTTCATCGGTATCAACGAATTCGCTGGCGGCTTCTAGAAATAAAACAGTATTCAAGCGGTGCAATGAAGAAATGGAGACTCGGCTGCCATTTTCGCTTCACAAACTTAATTATCACATGAAATCAATCGGAATCAAACGGTATACATAGTAACTATGGTGAGGGGTTGTGTCGAACTTAAAGGAATCTTGCGCGGAAAATTCTTGCACTCTTTCCTAACATGAATATGTCAGTTGTGATCACTGGAAATAGCACACAAAGTTTCACGCATGAAGATTCGGTTTCTGAAGAGAAACAAACGTACAAAAACTACACGTTATGGACCATCGAAGGACCAGGAGGCAGAGCCAGGCGAGGCATGGAAAGAAGACGGCGTTTGGCCGGCTACGTACCAGGCGACGCAATGAGAGAATCGGGTTAAAGCGCGCGATTTCGGAGAGTGGAGACAAATCGATCGATGGAATAGGATGGAGTAGAAGTGTAAGATGTGAATGCAACGAAGCAGAAGGCCAGAAAGAGCTTCTAGTGAATGCACTCCAAGAACCAAGTTTGAGCATCCCCGTCGCCAGCATTCGTGAAAGACGTCCGTGGGCAATTCGAACGCGTAGCAGCCTTTTCGAGTTTTCGAATTTCTAATCAAAACGAAAGCAATACTTCAGTTCTTTTCACTATTATCGTGGATAATGAGTCTCAAGCCAGTGATTTATGGCTGAAATAGAATCATGATTTTTCCGCGCAAGATTCCTTTAAGAGGGGAGAGGAAGTGGGAACCTCGAAATCTGCTTCTACGGTTGAGACTGGTGTTGTTTTCTTGCAAATGTGATGGATTCGAACCATTTACCACCTTGAGAGGGCAAAATTATCCAGAATCGGGGCAATCTTTCAAATGCAAAGTTAGAAAGAGAACAGAAATGACAGCAAGCTCCTTCTCGAGCTACTTCATACCTGTTAGCCGTTTGCCTTCTGACTGCCCAATTTCCAAAGGAGAGAATCCACCACCAAAACCTCCGCCCATTCCGGGGCTGATTTGCGGTCCAAGACCTCCTCCTCCGAAACCATATGGATCTCCGCCGCCCATTCCGAATGGTCCGCCCCAGCCATCTGAAAAGTATCTCTTCAATGATACTCGACATTTGAAGCAGGCAGTCTTTCTTATTTGCCCCACGAAGATCGGTCTGAATTATGTGGGACAAAATGAAGGAAAATGTCTCCTACCTCTCTATTGAAAAGTCTCCTACGCAATTAAGCGAAGAGTTACACAGATAATGAGCTCGCATGAATCAACTCTTGTAGCCCTTCTGGACACACGGTCAGAGAAGTACGGAGGCAACGGAAAAAAGCTACTTTTCTTCGTTCACTCAACACTAAATTAGTCACACGTTGCTGATCTATGACCGGGTGTTCCCACCTGATTATTAAACATCACACTCTTCAGAGTACCTTACCTTAATAACAGTCTTCCATGCAGAGGACCGTTTCCCATGAAACAACAAACCTTGCGATAGAACACCCTTCTGCTTACAAGGAAAGCTTCATTGCAACAACCAAATAAATGGGTAAAATTGCTGAACTTATCTAATCTTTTGGAAGAGACCCAGAAACTGGGGTTACCTTTCCGTAATTATTTATCCCAGAGGAATGTACCATGTTTAAAGGCAATGATCACGAGGGCTGGACGGCTGTGCGGTTCTGAGTACGTCAATGAAGTGAATCATGATCACTGCTTTCAAGGGGAACTGGGAAATCGTGCGGCATTTCGCATCTAGGAGACACTGTTCGTTTGCATCCAATAGATGAATAGGGTTCAAAGTAACTGCTTCGAAAAACCACCAACCTCCCCACTGGCTTGACGCTGTGCTGATCAGTACAAGAAAAATTAGGAGGGCTGTCTTGCCCATTTGGGAATCAACGATAAGGACGTACTGTGCGGCTTGACTGCTTTGCACTGAACTCGCTCTACTCACCGTAGCCCTTTTGAAACACACCTGTGCGAGTGTTTGGCGAACAATGGCTTTAGCACTTCCCTGCACATGACGATTGAACGAGTTTCTTTTGTTCTTTACCCCAAGGCCCCTTGTGATGAAGTTGTTTCTCGTATCTCATGACGTCCACGAGAGCAGTCTTTGAGCGTTTCTGATCTTCACAAACTCTTGTCGGTAGCGGTGTCGCCATACTGACGTGGAAGCAGGGGTTAGTCACCGACAGTTCGGGAGATTGTTATTTTATTACGTTTTGGCCACATTAGGAGTGAATCATGTGGACATTTCCTTTTATGTATGTCACATTCGGGCCCACCAATTTTCCGTAATTATCTCCCCTCTCGTGAGGCTCTGAGAAGGTGTCTCACTTCGACATATAATTTACATGTATGTACAGTTCTTGCAAGTCAATAGTGAAGGACGTGGTGTAGCAGGAAGTGGCGCTGCATAATATGGCCATTATACTACTGTCCATACTCGAATCGGATCTTTTACAGGCGAACTATTCTCGATGTCGTTCAGGGAAACCAGGTTGATTACAGGCTCGCGTGGGACGAAGAAAACAAACAAACTGTATAGGAGAGGGGGGGAGGACCCGCAACCAATGATTGAGCCATAGCACTTCAAATGCCACTGCGACACTAAATGTAAGCACAGTGCCTAGCGTTGCCAAAATGTTTGTTGAATGGCTGCTTTATTCTCCATCGACGTGGATCATCATACTTTATACTTTCTTTTGCACTCTTTCACAGCAGCGTTCACTCGGAAACACAAATTCCGGATAGTTTTAAAGGGCCAAAAAACCTGGTAAGCTCCTGCTAGCAGACGTCGTGAATCATTTTCGCCCTTTAAATCAGGAAATTAGTAGCCCTGCTCAAGGGTGGCACTTAAATTCGTTGAGCGCTCCATTTTTTCGCGGGCGATTACGCGAGCGGTTGTGCTCTTTTACAGCTCTCCTGCCTGTCGTTGATTTTCTAGTTGCCGTTCACTCTGACGTCCACTGCTATTACTCCGAAAGCTGGAGCATCTCTAGCTTGGGCTTTCTTATGCATTAAAGTAACCGCAGACTATTTTTTGTTGTTTTCATAATTGTGCAATGTGCCTTGGCATCGACTGATCGTATTCGGTCATCAATAGTCGCCTCTAAATCCACCTGCGTCGGGTTTCTTGTGGCAGTATTCGCCTTTAATTGTTTTTATGCCAGTTTACATGTCGCTACAGGCTACTAATATCTACGGATATCCTCAGTGCGTCTTCCATTGTTCAGGGAACAGAACGATCGCGAAGCAGTGTCGGTGCTTGCCGAATGCAGCTCATGTCGATGATCACGGATTGCAAGAGACGTCCAATATGTTCTCATCAGATCCTTCGTCAATCATATTGCGTTCATTGGTCTTCCCGTGTCCAGATCCGATGAATGGAGACACATAGTCCTGTGGAAAGGATTAGAGCCTTTCAGAGAACACACACATCACAGAGGAGCAACAAACATGAAACACCTGAAAAATCGATAAGGAAATGGTAAACAAATCACAAATCAGTTCCGAGTCGTAGCCATAGAAGCCGCACTATAAGACGCTGCCTTCACCAGTGGAGTACAGTGGAAAGTAAAAGCGATCGAACTGGAGCCCCCAAAACATTTGATAAGAAGGAAAGCAATAAAAACAAAGCAAATAGGAAAAGAAAATACAAAACGCTGTAAAACATTCGATTAGTGGGCTAGCTCGTGACATCTCAAAACGCATGAGAATAAAAAACCATAGAAAGGGACATCGAATGAAGATAAGAAAGAGATCTGCTGGCATCAACTCAGCCATGATCGGCATGTCCACAAACTCATACGGAAAGAACTCTCCGCAAGTGCGCCACCGCTTTTTTTGTTGGAGGGGGTTTCTATTTTTGGCCTCGTCAGTTTCTTTTCATTTTTTCTTCGCTGTGTTTCTATTTCGCATCCTCACACTCAGCTCAAGCAATTTTTAAATAAATGAGCGAAAAAAATATGTATATATAAGTAAATATGCCGAATAGAGCCCCACCATTGCCTTTGAT